GCTCACCGCTGATCGTCGTCGTCGTCGTCGTCGTCGTCGTCGTCGTCGTCGTCGTCATCGTCGCGGTCATCGTCGCGGTCGTCGTCGCGGTCGTCCTCGTGGTTTTTGTCCTCTACTTCGTTTTCGTCGTCGTCGTCGTCGTCTTCGTCGTCGTCACAGTCGTCGTCTTCGTCGTCGTCGCGGTCGTCGTCGCACTCGTCCTCGTCCTCGTCCTCGTCGTCGTCGGTGTCGTCGTCGCGGTCGTCGTCGTCGTCCTTGTCCTCGTCCACTTCCTCGTCCTCGTCCTCGTCCTCGTGGTTCTCGTCATCGTCGTCCTCGTCGTCGTCGTCGTCGTTGCCGAGGTCCTCGTCCTCGTCGTCGTCCTCGTAGTCGTGGTCCTCGTCCTCGTCGTCGTCGTCGTCGTCGCGGTTGTCGTCCTCGTCTTCGTCCTTGTCCTCGTCCTCGTGGTCCTCGTCGTCGTCGTCTTCGCCCTCCTGCTTCCTCCTCCTCCCTCCCTCCTCTTCCCTCCTTCTCCCGTGCCTCCTCTTCCTCCTCCCCCTCCTCCCTCCTTCCCTCCCTTCTTCCCTTCCTCCTTCCCTCCCCGAGGAGGGGGTTGTGGTGTTGGCAGCGACGGCCAGCAGCAGTCGCCCACTGTGTCCCGACTCAAACAGGTCAGACTCCAAAACATTAAACGGGTGACCGTGAAAAGTACGTTACGATCTTGTCTACAAAGCCCAGGTCGATCTCAACATCGCTAAGAGCTTTCACGGGCCAGGCGAGTCAGATCTTTTTCAAGCCCAGCAGGCGCTCCAGGATGCAAAGGCGGCTGCCTTTGCAACTCGACCCATACCAGTTCATTCCAAGTCCATGGCCGACCAAATGGACTTCCCGAATAAAGAGACAGCTAGCATCCTGAACGAGTTCGCCGCCCTTGGTATTCATTAAGCAGCAGGTGGAGCGCCACGAGCAGCTCCAAGCTGAGTTCGAATCCACGGCCCAGCAACTCACAGCCATGGAGTCTCCTAAATCATCAAATCTCGAGCTGCAGCCGAGTCCATGGTCCAGAACCAGCAGGACGACCTATTTACGCATGTCCAGCAGATGCAGCAGTCTACTCTTCGCAAGCTCCCACAGCTACCACCTAATGAACAGCAGCTCGTCGATTCGGCTTTCCTACAACTGTCGGGACTACTTGATCAAGTTACCCGCAACAGCGCTCGGGGACCAGCGCCTACAACCCCAGCAGCGGTTCTGGACCTTCAACCCGCCCACGACCCGGGCAGGGGCAGAAGGAGCAGAAGCAGGAGTTGAGGAGGGAGCAGCAGCAGTCCCAGACGAGCCCGTGGAGGGATCAGGAAAAGCATCGGTCAGCGATCTTGCTTCCAGAGTCTCTCATGGGGTACGGGGCATTGCAGCGCCTCATCCTAAGTGGCGTGGCGCGGCGTCATCTCATACCCACCGTCAAGAAGCCCACTGATAAGGGCAAGGCGACGGGCAAAGGAAAGTAGGGGCGTGGGGGCATTGGGAACGGCAAAGGGAGCGACGAGGGTGACCTCCAGATCCTCTTGGAAGAGGCCCGGGTCCTCGCAGAGCCCACCCAACAATCCCCCCAAGGCGCCACTGCGGCCGCAAGCGGCTCTAGCGGATGTGCTGGGGAGTCCCCCCCAAGCCCCAGGCTTCCCCTCGCAACCCGTGGCTCGCGGGGGAAATGGGTGCCAATTTTGATCCGACAGTTCTCCCAGACAAGGACGATTCCAATTGTCAGTGCAAAGTGGTTACTATCACTGTGAATTCGTGGAATGATCAAGGATGATATCGAATATGATAGAATTCTCCATTATCACGAGTTCTTGCTCCAGGAGACTCATGTTGCTTCGGCAGATGCGATTCGGATTGCAGTGGAGTTTTGCATGGCACGCGGATGGCATGGAACGTTTTCTCTCTCTCTCTCTCTCTCTCGGAGCGCCTCGACTCTGGAAGGCTTTTTGGAGGAAACGCTATTCTCGACAGGATGGGGATGAATTTCCGGGTTCAGGACGTCGATTTCGAGTACCCCAATAGTTTTCGAATGCTGGCCATCAAGCTTGAGATTGAGTTTTTTTTGTTATATACATATATCGGTTTCTGGTATGCAGTCACTACCTCGAGCCCAGCATGGGCTGAAACGTGTAAATCTGAAGTTGCTTGGTGCAGCGCGGAGTTTCCAGGACTCGTTCGAGTTGTCGTTCTCAGCGAGAGGTGATTGCAACGTTGCTTCGAAGCGGCTGCTCCTACCTAGACTGCTTGCACTTGGCTAATTTGACCCTCGGCGCCCACCAGCTTCTCACCTACTCTACCAGTGGAGGTGCGGCAGCAGTCGCTTCTTTCATGCTGTCAGTGGCCATCAAGAGCCAGGTGGAGGGCGTCGACTGGGCTAAGGACGATTCTCCGTCACCTCGCCGTCCGCCTATTCTTTCGCCCAGGGTCAAAGCTTTGGAATTGGGACGAGCTTTCGTTCAACAGTCTCCCACCAGGAGACCATGTGGACCAGCGCCAGAAGATGAGCGCTGGGAAGATCTTGGCCGTCTCTTAGATGCTACTGAGGCTACTCTCCGATCTGACCGTCTGCCTCAATCCAAGAGGCATGTTTTGTCGGACGCCGTTCGTGGTCTCTTTGTGTAGAAGTTCGAACGCGCCGCGTGTCTGAAGACGGATGCCCCAATACCTAAGTCGTCCAGGAGGGGGCAGCATCCGAGAGCAAAGCTGGCCCCGTGCAGGCGGTGCAATTTTATGTTCGGGAATGTGGGACTTCGCTGGCTCAGCCAGCGACTCGGCATCATAACATGTTCCAACTTATTCTGAGGCACCTCGACGCTAGGCCTGAAGTATCCCCGGACTTTGTGGATCATGTTGTCGCCGAGTACTCGCAGGCCCCAGCGGAGTTCAAATCTGTCCAGACCATGACTGCGGTGCATAGTGACACCCAGGCACTATGCGCCTCCTTGGCCATATGCGCCAAGGCAGGGCAGGGTGACATTACAGTATCCTGGGATATCTTCATCGAGCATTATGCTGACATAGCACTTATCCTCCAGTAGGAAAAAGGATCGGCGGCAGTTTGGAAGGGACGGGCGCGAGAAAGCCTCGAGGGCGTGTGCTCGAGGCGGGCGCGCAGGTCGACCGAGCCAGCAGATTTCTGGAGGCCCAGGCCCCCTCGGCCCTCCGCCCTCGCCATTGCTTGAAATCGAAGCCGAGCGTTTAGAAACCACTTGGGAGTGCGCAGCTACCCCGGCGCCCCCTTTTGAGGCCGACCCACCAGATGTAGAGCAGCGTCCAGAAATATGGGTGGGCAGCACATCGGGGTTGCCAGGATGGCCCCCCACGGGGCCCGTCAGACTTGGGGTGGTTTCGGCCCGGGGCGCGACGGGCAATTAGGGCAAGCTCTTATTTTTTGTTGCCATTCAGCTCTCAAACTTACCTTCTCGAGTGGGTCAGATGCCGAGCAGCGTGCTCGCCCTATACGCCGCCCTCATCCGCGACGCGCGAGCTTGATGATAGCGGCCCAAACTGTCGAGGCGCAGGTTGCATTTCAGTCCGCATCGAATCTGGTCGAGAGCACGGCAGCCTGTCTGTAGAGAGTGGGGCGCGCGGTACTCGGCCCCTCATGGCCCGCCCGCCCGTCAGATCCTTTCTAGAAGAAGGTTGCCTGCAATCGTTGTCGGATGAATGCGTTGTCACGTTTAAGGTCGCGTTCTTGGTTTCATTGTGGGGCCTCAGCAACTTCTACGTGAGCGTCAATTGAGAACTTGTTTGGTCTTGGGCCAAAGCGTCACAGTTCTCCCTTGGTCTCAGTTCTCCTCGAGTTTCTCAGCCCTCATTCGTTATTTTGATGGGTGGGAAAATGGACGAGGGTGGCCAAGGCCGACCATTTTGCTTGGTGCGGCGTTTTGTTTCTCTGTGCTCCTGCGGGAGCTGGCGTCTTTTTTCGCCGTGGTGCCTCCGTTGGGGGCCGCGGTGTCGTCTTCGTCCTCGCGTCCGTCGCGTGTCCGTTTTGTTTGTCCTGTCTGTCTCTTCATGTCTCATGCTTCTCCTGGGCCATGGTTGTCGCGGGTGGTCGACGCCAGGAGAGCGCGAAACACTGCGGCTTCGCCCGCACATTCAGTGCTGTATCTGCGAGCAGCGCCTCGCTTTCAGCGCCGCGTCACGTTCGCTGCGGGTTCCCTCCTGCTGGCCCTGTGCTCTGCGGTTCTGGCCAGCCTGACGCGACCAGGGACCAGGGCCGTTCTCCTCGCCGCTGCTCCTCGTCGCCAGCTGCACGATCAGAAGATCCGCGCTGATTTCTTGGGCCCGCGCTGGACCCCCTTCCCTGGCTCGCGAAGCGCGTTGGGTTTGGCGTGGGAGGCGCCGCCAGGGGCCTCAGCGCCTGCCCGAATAATCTGCGTGGACCCCCGAAAGGATATCTTTACGTCGTGCTCGGTTCTTCGGACCATGCCCTCTCGATCTCGGATGCCTCTCCGCTGCCTGCATGCCTTGCAGAGCTGGCGAGGCCCCCTCCCCTCCTCCCTCCTGCCTTCGTCGTTTTCTCGGCCTTGTCCTTCTCGTCTGCTCCGCGGTGGTCCTCGCCGCCTCCGTCCTCGTCGTACTTGGCGCCGCCGCCCTCCGCCCCCCTCCTGCCTGTCCCTTCGCCGTCCTCGGCATATTTGCGGACGCCGCCGCCGCCCTCATCGCCCTCGCCCTCGGGAGGCCTCCTGGGGAAGTCTCTGGAGGCCTCCAGAGGCCGTCGTCGCCGCCGCCGTCCTTGTTGTCGTCCCTGCCGCCCCCGCCGTCCCCAGACATGCGATGTTCAGATTTTTCCGCACGTGGTCCCCAGAAGTACCGACCCTCTCCCCAGGGCAGGCTTTTCTCATCCCGAGCAATTTTTTGACGACCCCGGAGCCCGAAATCGGCAACAAAGCCTCCGTCGTGAGTGTTTCACGACGCGAAGCACGTCTGGGTCCTCGCCCTCGCCCACGCCGCCCTCGCCGCCGCCAGCACGCGCCGCCCAGGGCCTCACCGGCGTCCGCCAGGCCGTGAAGGTACTGCGCGAGTACTACTCCGGTGACGTGCGCCCGCGGCTGCCGCTGTCGGCGCCCACGTCGTCGCCGTTGTCGACGGTCGCCACCTCTGCCGACGCAGTCGATGGCATCGTCGTCGTCGTCGTCGTCGCCGTCGTCGTCGTCGTCGTCGTCTTCGTCGTCGTCGTTCAATGTTGCAAACAGCCGTTGTCCTCCCTGCGACGCCGTCGGTCGGCGTCCTCCTCGACGACGCCGCTGGCATCGCCGTCGACGTCTTCCTCGGCGTCGTCGTCAACGATGTGGTCGACGCCGTCGTCGACGTTATCCCCTCTGTGTCGCCGCGGCAGAGAAGGAGGGGCTGAGGACGGAGTGAGAGAGAGAGAGAGAGAGAAGGAGGGGAGGGAGAGAAGTGGGGGAGACGTCTTGCGGCGGGTGTGCCGAAGGATGATGAGGTGAGGGGATGATGATGATGATGATGATGATGATGATGATGATGATGATGATGATGATGATGATGATGATGATGATGATGATGATGATAGATGATGCTAGATGGTAGATGATGATGGTGATGATGATGATGGTGATACTGATGCAGATGCTGATGCTGATGCTGATGCTTATGCTGCTGATGATGGAGGTTATGCTGATGATGATGATGCTGATGATGTTGATGTTGAGGATGATGATGATGATGATGATGATGCTGATGCTGCTGATGCTGATGATGACGATGATGATGATGATGATGATGATGATGATGATGATGATGATGATGATGATGATGATGATGATGATGATGTTGTTGCTGATGCTGATGCTGATGAGGAGGAGGAGGAGGAGGAAGACGACGAGGGGGAGGAGGAGGAGGAGAAGGAGGAGGAGGAGGAGCAGGAGGTGGATCAGTGTAAACCCAAGAGTCATCAACGATGTTGATATAACCGTCCTTCCAATCTCCCTCCTAGAGGCCCCTACAACAGTTCATTTCCACAGAGGGAGCTGCCTCGTTCGAGAAATCGGTTGACGACCCTGAAGCATGCCAACATTTTGTTCTTGGGATTCCAACGCCACGGATCACTCTGATTGTTGTGTCTTGACGATCCTGAATCGTGCCAGAACGCCGCGAATCAACGTTGCTGTTGCACCCTCATAATCCCGAATCCTTTCAAACACCATTTCTGGTACGCTGATCATGGGAATCAAGAGTGCGCGTGGCGCTAAGGCGAGAGCCACATTTTTAAAACGGGTCGCCCTCAATCCGTGAAATTCTTGCAATGCTTTAAAGCGCAAGTGCGCGGCGCCAAGGCGAGAGACACATTTTGAAAACGGGCCGCCCTGAATCGTGAAGCGCTTGCGAATTCAAAAAACAACGAGTGTGCACGATCCGCCCTCCATTTGTGAAACTGTTGCCAACTTTCAGCTTCATGGTCATACACGGTGAGGAAAGCTCAGGCAAAACACCCAGCCCACCCTAAAAGCTGGCCTCGGGGTGCGAAACGGAGAAGCTATTCTAAGGGAATTAATGGAGGAGGAGGAGGAGGAGGAGGAGGAGGAGGAGGAGGCGGAGGAAGAGATGGAGGAGGAGGAGGAGGAGGAGGAGGAGGAGGAGGAGGAGATGGAGGAACAGGAGGAGCAGCAGGAGGAGGAGGAGGAAGACGAGGACGAGGACGAGGAGGAGGTGGAGGAGGAGGAGGAGGGGGGCGGCGGTCGACGTCGACGAGGGCGTCGCCGTCGTCCTGTTCGTCGGGACGATGAGAGGGAATAAGAGAGGGAGAGAGGCAGGAGGAGGCCATGTTGGGCAATTTTTTTGCCCCTTGGCGCCCTGCCGGCAGGCTAAACCAGGTGCCGTCAGCGCGGCTGTCAGTCCGCGCCACCGTCGCCGAAGGGCGACTCCCTGCCCGCCGCCACTCGGGCCCTCGCCCAGCAGGCCGCTGCGGCGGGCGAGGCGAAGCCGTGGAGCTCCGCCGCCTGCCAGGCGTCCGCCACGACTGGCCGCAGCCCCCAGCGCGGCGGCCTCCCTGCACCAGCGGGAGCGCCCGCTCCTGCCTCGCCGTCTGCGCCGTCGCGGAGCACCGCCACGAGCCGCGCCTGCTCTTCCAGCGTGGGCGGCTGCGGGGCCGAGAGCCTGGCCTTGCTCTTGGGCTCCTGGAGGCGCATCAGGAGCCGCCGCGCCTCCGCCGCCCTTTCGCCAGGGGCTGGCCGTCCCATGCAGCTGCCCAGCAGGCCTGTCCCAGCAGGAGGGGACCGCTTCCAGAATCGGCAACCACACTTCATACACCAGGCCACGGCCCCATCGCCATTCTCGAGGCGCGAGACGACGATGCAGTGCCCACGAACCTCCCGCGCCACACCAGCTCCTGCAATCGCGGCCTTCAGCTCGGGAGCGGCCACAGCCGCCTCCGCCAGCTCGGCAGCCGCGGCAGCGGCGGGCGCCTGGCCATGCACCTCTCCAGCAGCAGCCCCAGCAGCGGCGCCAGGCGCCTGGCCGAGCTCGAGGTCGGCCTCGAGCGCCAGCGCCGCCACCTCCGCGTCGGCCTGCTCCGCCGCGTCCAGCGCCTCCTGCGGGATGTCGTTGACGAGGTCGGCCGTGCCCACGACCCCGTCTGAGTCCAGCTGCTCTCGGTCCACCATGGTGGCGGCCAGCTCGCCAACCCAGCGCCCAAGCTCCTCCACGCGCCAGGCACACGCCTGGAGGAACCAGACCAGCTCCTCGTCGATCGGCCACAGCGCCGCGCCTCGCTTGGCCCACAGGTCGGCTGCCCTGTTGCCCCTGATCAGGAGCTCCTCCTCCCAGGTGGCAGCTGCCGAGAGCTCCTTGTGCGCCTTGACCTTCCGCACCGTGGCCGTCGGGCCTGGCCCAGCCCACCGCTCCTGCCAGAGGTGGCGGCGCGCCTGCAGTGGCGCGAGGGCCTTGCCCTGCGAGAGCGCCAAGCCGACCGTGCCCGCGCAGTCGCAGAAGACCTCGAGGCCCGAGCCATCGGCCGACGGCAACCAGAACTGGGCCAGCATGTGGAACGCGTAGTCCTCGCCGTCCCTGGCCTCCTGCTTGGGCCCGTACGCCCGCGGGGCGATGCCGTGCATCCCGCCAATGACCTCCCCGCTGAGGCCGATCTGCACGACCGCCCAGCCTGCGCGGCGGGCCCCGCGCAGCGCAGGAAACCCGGCGCTGCCGTCCACGAAGACCCTGCCCTCGAACTTTGAGCCAGGCGGCACTCCAAACCAGCGCGGGGCCGCGAGCGCGGCGTCGGCCGTCGCAGGGAAGGCCAGGGCGGGGTCGGGGCACAACGCCCGCGCGAAGAGCTCCGCCGCAGCGTCCCCGCGCTGCGCCACCAGCCGCGCCCCCTCCAGCAGCTCCCGCGAGCACGCATCCCGCCGCAGCATCTGCCAGGCCTCGCACTCGAAGTCCCTGTGCCGCAGCGTGCCACGGCCTCCGCAGAGGCGGCGCAGGCCGTCGCGCGCCCTGCCCTCCTTCCAGAGGCGTTCCTGCGGCCAGTGGGGGCCGCCAAGGACCGCTGCGAGCGCTCGCCTGTGGCGGGCCTGCCAGTGCGGCAGCGGCGGCGCGGGCTCCTGGCAGCCTGCGCCCTCAGCGGCCTCGGCGTCGTCCTGCCCCTCGGGGCGGCGGCGCGCGTGGAGGAGGCGCTCCAGCCCCTTCCAGTGCGCTGGCCATGCCCAGGCCCCTGGCCCGCGCAGCCACTTCAGCGCGAGCGCGTCCGAGGCCAGCATCGCCGACTCCCGCGCCGCCTGGGCCAGCATGCCAGGCGAGTAGAACTCCAGCGATAGGACGCGCGCCTGCCAGTCTATGACGGTATTGAAGGCCACCATCTCGATGCCGACCCGCCTCAGCGCCAGCACGCATGCCTGCGCAGGGTCGCGGCGCGGCCCCCAGGGGCGGCGAAGGTCGAGCAAGCCTTGCGCCCCAAGCCAGCACTCCTGCACCACCGCGGCGCTGGGCAGGCCCGTCTCCAGCGTCATGCCCCAGGAGCGCGCCACTTCCACCGCGTGCGCCACGAAGGGGTCGCGGTAGGCCGCGCCGCGCATCGCCCGCAGCCGCAGGCCGACGCTGGCGCCCATGGGCAGCCTGCCTTCTGCACGCATGGCGGCGATCCGCAGGCCGTGCAGCTTCCCACGGGCGAGGCCCGTCACCGCGGAGCCCCAGATGGCAGTGGCCGTGGGGCTGCCTCTCTGGATGTGGCCCACTTGCGCACCTGCACTGCGCAGCAGGCGCGCTCTCGCGCTGACCTCCGCCGCGCGGCCAAGCCGAGCGCCCTGCCCGCGCACGCGCCTCCAGCGCCCATCAACGGCGTCGCCGCCGAGGCAACGGGCGCCAGTCCAGCGGGCCAGCGGCCCGTGCGCCCAGCAGCCGTCCAGCTCGTCGCCGAGGTCCTCGCTGTTCGCCAGGCAGCCCGTCTTCGCCTGCGAGATGACCAGCCCCTTGGCGACCAGGCCCTCCGTGAGGGCCGCCATGGCCCTGGGGAGCTGCTGCGCCACCTGCGCCCTGCCACCGACCGCCTGCAGCAGCACGTCGCCGACGACATTCTGCAGGCGCACCACAGGGTTCTCCCGCGCGATCTTCACGAAGAGGGTGTGCACCAGCAGCTTGGCCAGCCCGGCCGCACCGCTGCATCCAGCCACGATGGTGCCGTTCGCCTCGAACGGCTAGGAGACCGAGCCGCGCCAGGACACGCGGCGCTGCGTGCGGTGCGACACGCAGTAGCACTGCAGCAGCGCGAGCGGGAACTCCGTGGCGGCCGCCTGCACGCGCAGCTCCTCGTGGCTGACGTGCTCGTAGAACTTCGCCAGGTCGGTGACGCCCGTGGCCGCCGAGAGGCCTCTGCTGCGCGCAAAGGCCGCCAGGAGGTTGTGCACCACCCCCGCGCGCTCGCACGGGCTCTCCGACGTGCCCCAGAAGGCAGGGTTCTTCAGCGAGGCCTCCCAGCGGGCCACCAGCGGCTGCCGCAGCCTGCTCCAGACCCTCAGCCAGATGGCCGTGAGGCCGATCTACCGCTGGCCGCCAGTAGCCTTGGGGATGAACACCACGATCAGCTGCC